ATCATAATTTCTGTGATAATTATATCATTACTTTTTATTATAAATAATAAGTTTCAACTAAGAATCAATTATTACAGAAGTAACTGGAACTCAAGATAGTACTTCACGGAAAAAAATTACTTACATGGAATAAAATATATTTAAAATAAATTGAAAAAAGACACCCTTCAAAAATTTAATCATGTCATATATAACGTCTACAAAACAATGTCTTTCAGTTTGTTTAACAAAAAAAAAAAAAGTATTCTACTAGTAAAATAAAATTGAAATGATGAAAAACTTTAGAACTAGATTTAGCCATAAAAAAATTTTTAAATTTTTGATTAACTTAAATTCCCCACCCCCACCCTTCTCTAGAAGTAATTGAGTTATATTTGTTGCAAAAACAAGAACCAATAACTATAATCCATTGAAAATCCATTTACTACTTTTAAATGTACTTCCTAAAACGTTTTATTCAGTTGCAATAAAGCATAATCTCATAAAAAGTTTTATTTACTATTTCGTGTTTTTCACTCTCCGTAGATTTTACATGAAAAAATGAAAGAGCATTTTCATGTTTATGTTAAAATGTATAAATTACTGTACAAAAAACGTGTAACATCATAAAACATATCATGACAGAGGAAAAAAGATAAAACTAAAAAGTGTATATTTAAAAAATTTTATAAAAAGTGGTAAAATTCCACAATAGAGGATTTTTTTAAATCATAAACAATGAAAAAATATATTATACTTTGTATAATCACGATTTATTGTTAAACCGTTAAAAAAAAATATATATATATATATCTTCAAAAGGAAATTTTTTTTATTTCACATAATTGCAAGGTTTGATCTTTAATTATTCTCAATAAAATGTGAAAGCCAAGAAAGAATTGTAATGATTTTCTCATTGGTGGGCCTATAATCTGCAATATGGTTTGCGTGAATCGTTTACGCCAATGGTCCCGCGAGAAACAACTTTTTGCAAGCAGATGTTCAACTCCCTAGTGTGTTTCTGTTGCCCGTAAACACCACCATTGGAATGTCTAATGAGAGAGTATTCATGTTCTCTAATCGTGATGGAAACTTTTTCGGCAGACTTGTAACTTGTGATATCTTTGCGTAGTCTCTTTGTTCATTCCTTTCTCTTTGACCACCTCCAAAGGTAGCTTGTGAAAATAAAAACCGGCTCCAGTCCAAGCAATTTTATTCCACGCCAGTCTGCAATGTGTAACTTGGCAACTGCTGGCAACTCCCTCGTTATTACTGCCAACTACCAATTTTTTGTATCTTACTATTGCTTCTGACTCTCTTCCATTTCCCTCTATTTCTTCATTAAAAATAAGATATTTTTTTTTTTTCCACCGGAAACTAAAAATTAATGGACGAAAAACTCTTCATTATCGTGTTTATATTTAAATCCGGCTCGTCATTCTTTTTCATTGGCCTTGAAGAAAATATTCATGTCAATATTTTACCAATTAAATGTTATCTATTTAAAATAGAATATTCAAGTAAAATTAAATCACAAATTTTAATATCACATTGCATAATTATAATTCTCATTAAAGTGATTATATTTATCAATTATTAACAATCGATAAATAAAAATAAAAATAATTTCTAATATAAAAAAATTTATCTTTAATTGCCAATTACTCTTGTATAGAAAATTCATCTTCATGAATCATCGTCAGATCTTTTTAATCAGAAATTAGCTCAGCATTTCTGTATTGAAAAATATCTTTAGAAGAAAAATAGAAGATGATAAACATAAAGTAGTTGAGAAGATATTTCATAATGAAATTTAATAAAAAGAATCTGACATGTGTACATGATCAACAATCTTTTATTTATCCAATGCTCTAATTGGATGACTAATTAATAATCTGTTAATTCACATCTCACCTAATTCCATTAACTGATATTATTTTTGTCCCACATTTCTCGTCTTTTTCTCGCTCTCTTTCACTGCACAATTTCACTCAAAATGCACGCAACAATATCACACACGAGCCTTTCATGGTAAAAAAACGTGTAAGTTTCTTTTATAAAAATAGTTATTAGTACATCCATTGATAGCTTCAGCACAGCATGAGTTGGAATTTTTTATAAATAACCTACCATTAGCCTATCAAATGTAATATAATAAATGATTCAAGAGCTACTTACACTCAAAAAATTTCATACTATTTATTCTTTATCTTCAAAAGGGAATAAATTATCAAATAAAATATATATTTTAATAAATCCCAGAAGTATTTATTATTTACAGAAACCATTAAAAATTCAGTGACATAGAAAATGATTGCTAAACTTTTTTAAAGCTCAATATTATTAAAAATTTTCAAAACTTTCGACTTTTAGATTAAACCCGGAGGAAAAATGTATATAGGAATACATCAGGTAGTCAAAGCAGATTTTTTAACGATCTTACGAAACAGATAAAAACCCTCTATAGTATCTCAGAACTTTTCACAGTCGAAGAAATAAAAGTAAAATTCTTGTCTGACAATAAAACGTAAAAAAAAAATCGAATCATTTTTATTTAACTCTTGAATCTTAAAAACATCCTTTACTTATTTGACTTTTCTTATTTAATCATCAATTCTTCGTAGAATTAAGAATTTTCTACTCCAAAAATGCTAGACAAAAAAAAAATATAAACAAAAACTAATTAAGAAGTAAATATGAAATGTAATATTTTGTATTTGACCGATAGAAAAGAGTTTTGAAAAACATAAAAACGAAAACACTAATTTGAAAAAGTCTACAAACAAAACTGGATTCCAATTACGAGAAGAGAAATGAAAATTCCTGCCAAGGTAAACATAAATAATACGGAATATCAAACGTAAGGACAGAAACTAAATATTTATGAATTAAATAAAAATTTTATATAATATAATTTGAGCCTATTAATAAATTACAAATAAAAATGATAAATAATAGACAATAACATTGTGAAATAATTATTGTAATAATTGTTAAAATAATTATTTATAATTAAATAAATAATTAAATTTTATCAGGAAGTTGAGTGATTTATTAATAAAATATTGACATGAAACAGGAAGAAGATCATTTTGTTTATAATTATAAATGAATTATAATGGAATTCTATATTTAAATCCCTTATCCGAGACAAAGTTGCTTTGAGATAACAGGTTATCCCAGTCACGAGATAGTATGTAAATCAGGAAAGAGTATATGTAAATCGAGAACAAAGACTCATGTGTAAGATGAAAAAAAATTTTGTATGCTTGTGAAATAATAGAGAAGACATAAAGAAAGACTCATTAATAAAAGTTACATCATAAATAAATGATGAAGATTTTACATGAAAATTCAGTAGATTAAAAAAGAAATATGAATCATCTTTTGAATAATTACCTTCATAATTGTATGTTTGAGATAAGATTGGTCATATACATATAAAATTTAACTGAAATTTTACTTGATAAAAAAATGAAATGCCTTTTAAATATGTATTTATGACAAGATGTAAATTATAAAATGCATCTAATATAATCGTAGTAAAATAAAACTAAACTTAGATCAGTTTAATGGGTTCAAGTTATTGCCAATATATACAATATCACCAAAAGGATGACATTTATATGAGAAGCAAAAAAAATATTTTATCAAGCAGCAAATTGAGAGACTTGAGTCTTTGACAAAATATTACCATCATAGAAGAAACTAAAGTTGTTTGTGACTCAATGTTTCGATTATTATAACTATTATTGCTATCAATGGACTTACTTCACGATTTTCTTGCAAAAAGAAAAATAGTCGATAGAAATCGAAACAATAGTCAAGGTAATAAAAAATAGCAGCCAGAATAATAGATTATAAGAATGAATAATAGAGAGTAATTTATGAGTACAATGTGGAGGGATAAAAATTAATTGAATTTTTATCTTATTCTACAATTCTTATTTCTTCTAATTAAAAAATTCTTTCAACTGCTATCTTGATTATAAAAGCTTCTCCTCGTTCTCATCAGTGCAAAGTTGATTCAAATCTGACACCTTGGCACTATGCGTTTAGATCTTTCGTGATTCTCATTTCGTTAAGTACTCAACTTGACTCCTTTACTGTCGTCGCTATATAAGTACAAGATAGATCGTAAATTTGTGGCAATTATCATTTGCCATTTTCTCTGCCTCGACACGTAACATTAAAGCCCGTTCATCAGCAAAAAGAGAGCAAAAGAGAAAGAGATCGTGCCGACTCTGACTGCTATTCGAGCATGACCCATAGCCACTCCTGCACGTATTTCTTCAGCCGCAAAAGTCACCTCCATAAATTTCAGGAAAGCCATGGAGGAAGAAACATTTTTATGACTTTGATGGCATGAGAAGTTGGCAAAAGATCAAGAAAAAAAGATTTTTCCTTTTTAATACAAAATTGAACATCATTTTTTTATTTTGCCCTAAAAATTCAGTCTGGGTCCGAGGTATGATTAAAAAAAAAAGAAAAAAGAAAAAAGTAGAAAATGTTTTGATGTTTACTTTATAAATTTACTCTATACACATATGTATTCATATCTCGTATCTCGCGTTCGTTATTTCTGAGCTTTACTGAACTGAATAAAAAAACGGATATCATTAATTGTTTAATTTAACTTCTCGTACAAATTAGAATAAAAAAGAAGCAACCCGCGCATTCATTACAATTTAAATTTAGTAAAGATGAATTATTCCAAAATGTAATAAGAAAATTTTTATACTCATTTTTGTAATACATACAAAATTATTTCGACCGACAATATTTATAATAACTTCACTAATATTTATATCAAACGTCAGATGCAAAAATTTATCTTCCAATCACAACACATAAAAATATTTAACTCCAAACTCCATTAAGACTTCTATTGACTTCATTTATACACTTTCAGTAAACAAAGCGTCGTTCAAGAGAAAAAAAAAAAATTTTTTCTAAATCAATTAAAAGTTGCAGTAGTTAAGCGAAATGAAAAGAAAAATAAATTACTATATAACACTCACCTTTTCCAAGTAGTTCGTAGTTCAAAGGTATCAAAGGGATGTTCACTTGTTTACAAAACACTACAAAAAAAACTTCCCGCCACTGACAAGGTTAAGTAAACCTCTTTAAACGGAGAACACGCGGGCAATGTACAGATCCATTTGACGTTTCCCATGCGACCTAACCTCCAACGCGTCCCTCGACAGTCTACTGGGGTCGTCTACAGGGAAATTCTCCACTCGTTGGCCTCGCATCAGCGGCGCACCCGCTGTCAATAACAGACGAGTGGCGCCGATGGAACGAATCCCGCGCATGTACAAGTACGTTCTGATGTTTAACTACGTCACACTATTTATCCACTTTTACACTTGAGTTTTGTGTACATGAAAAAGCACACTCACCAAGCTTATTACTTAGAATTGAACCTCTGAAAGCTTCTCTACCGCGCGATACATACAACCATCACATAACCAAACAATGTACCCGCACTCTACGAAAGGACTGTCTCTGTTTCCTAAACGCGTATCTCCCTACTCCCGCCACTGATCCACAGTGAATGCCGGTTACCTGTGGAGGGGAAGCAACATTCGCGAAACGTGCAAAGGGAACCAACACGAGGGCAAGGACAAAAGAGTTTAAACTTTATATACTTTATATAACCTTAAAAGGAATATTTGAAGAGCTAACGCATCACTCGTTTACTGAATGTGTTTACTAACTTTGTGAGTTGCTCGAAAATTAATTTACGAAATTTTGTGATGTTAACAAAGTCAATCACCTATTAATACTTCCAACGAATCGCAACAAAAATAAAAGTTTATTCGGTTTAATTTTAATCTAAGATTAATTAATTTCAAATTTACGTCGATAATGAATTGAGAATTTTTTTTGTCAAATTCAGAAGAATCTAATAATGATATTATTTAATGTTGATTAAATAAAGAGAAAATTCGAGAAAAAATTATAAAAGATTCGATAATCGATTGGGCGAATCGATAAAATAAAATCAAATTCGATTAAAAATGGCTACAGCCGACTAATCGATATATTCCAAACGAATCTTGTCAAAGCTAATTAGTTTAATGGAACGTTATCTTTTTGATGTAATTACTTGAGTTTATCATAAATTATTGAATTATTTGGCAGTATTTAGAGGAAATCTGATGCCTGATGGTCTGATCGACAATGAATTATCCCCTTAAATGGAGTACTAACACGAAATATAACAAATTAAAGTTTAAAAATGGATTATTTTGAAAATCGATTCTCATCTAATTATCTGCCAATAATTTATAATTTAATAGTCTATCATGACCTTTGCTTTCAATTAAAATGATTAAAATTTAACGTACTTGAATTACAATGATGATGTGCTGAAACAACAATTGGAGGTAATTAAGACAATATTTTACATAAGCATGATTCTAAGTCACTAACGAATAACTATTATTCTCTTTATGTAGTGTAATTAATGACAAAAGCTGCTTTGGATATTAACGCGTTCAGTAAATAACAAATAAACTCGGAACACAGGTGGTAAATGAATGAAATACGCGGGATTGTGAAAGATTAATAAAATTCAAACATGAAAAGATGAAACTGGAGGGCACCACTGGTCGTTGTTGATTTCATTATCACTTCATACTTCTTTAACAACTGAGCAACAGTACGCTTTATCCACAATGGATGCTGATGCCGTTTTATTTCGTCAAAAACACAAGGAGAGTACGTGTTCAGGATTATTTATAAAACGTAAAATCACACAAAAAGGTTTGGTAAATCATGTCATTGATATTAATAATCTTATAAATAGTTTGAAATTTCCATTTTTATCTATAAGTAGTTTTAGCTTGAATATAAGTTGAAAAATGATAAATAAGAATAACAAAAACTTTTTTCTTTAGAAGAGCAAATCAAATGAATTCAACAACTTATTGGTTATTTTGTATCAAACAATAATTTAAATTTATTTTCAACTTTTATTGCAATACTTTGTCATAAATACAAGATATACAGCAGTTTACATTTAAATTATGAATAGAAATGTTCTCGATAAAAGGTTTTTCAAAGACTTGGTAATAGTTCAGAATTTCTGCTTAAAATGTTGTACATATTTTAATTTATTTCATTAACTTTTGACGTTATAAATTGAACTAATACAAGTTGATATTTATTACTATAACCTTAAATGTAGCTTCGTCTTAGTAATTAGTCAAATTAATTTTCAACATGGGTGACAAGGTACCTCACCCTCAATTAGTCTTTCGCCAATTGGCTTATAATGCTGACGTACCTGACGCTGACGTGAAGTTGCTTTTCTAGAATATAATAATCAGCTTAGTGAGCATACAACATGAAGGAACAAGCTCACATGTTATCTTGGATTAAGCATTACTTGCATCATGAAATAAAAGAAAAAAATGGAATGACAACAGATGAAAAATTTTATTTTCTCAAAACCAGTAAGAACACTCAAGAAAAATGACATTTCACAAAAAATGGCTGCAAAAGTCACTCAGAGAAAAAAGGAAGAAGTGGAACCGACAAAAGCCGAGCCGAGCATTAAGAACAGATTGAAAATTGAATTATTAACGAGGACGACGACGTCCGGCATATAAATCATACGGAAATATTACTTTTCTTCAACGGAAACATGACCATCCGTCTCAACTACACTGCCAATTCTGTCCCCTGTTTTCGCTGTTTCTTTTTCTTTCTTTTCTTCAAAACTTTTCTTTTTTTTTTGCTCACTCTCTTTTAACTTTTCCATTTTCTCTAGAATTTTCATCAAAGTCTCAGTGATTTAACGATTCAAAGCTGGTTCAATATCAGCTAGTAACACTCCTACTTTTTATCTCTCATTCTCTTCTATTTTCGCTTCTCAATCTCATCTAAGTAATAGAGGCAGATTTATGTATTCACTAGATCTATGAAGAGCTACTCAATGTTCATTCTTTTCCCATAAATTGAAGAGTAATTATTGCAAGTAAACACGAAAAATTCATCTTTTAGATATATAAATATATAATTTTTCATCAGATTTATGACGTTCAAGAATTATTGATAAAATAAGATTGTCTTTTCTTTTATTATTGATTTACTTTATTAGCAATTCCAAGTTAAATTATCGTGTAAAAAATGTAAGAATTGTCTGACACCAGTGCATTTTTTATGACATCATTAGAAAAAAATTATTTTGCAATTCAATATGATTGGAAATAATTGATGAGGCATAAGTCAATATAAATTATCATATAATATGATTTTTACCTGACGATATAAAATTAATATCGTAAATTGATATTATTGGTTATCTTTTTATAGCACAAAAGTTAAGAGGAATAGTTCATTTGAATTCTCTAGTGTTCATTGATCAAGATCGGATCACTAATTGACATTTACCTGGAATATGTTTTAATAATTGAGCACAAAAGTATTATCTATTCAAAGCTTGTTTCTTATTATTTAAAAATGCATACTGAAATTGGAGCTTATAATAACTTATCTGATATTTTTTTTTTCAAATGAACATTTGAGTCATTTTTAATTTCAATAAAACACATGACATTTGACACAAGTGAGTGCCATTGACCACAAATACCGCAGAGAAATGCGCATTGAAATCAATGACTAAAACAATAAATGTTGATTTAAATGTATGAGGACTTTTATTTGGACAAAACACAAATAATTTTCAATAACAATCAAGCAACACAGTACGGAACTTTTACAAAAAAAATCCTGTGAAATAATTGTAAACCTTTGTTAGAGAGTTAAAAGTTTTCAGATAAACGTATTAAAAATTTTAAATAAGATATTTTCATAAATAGTTTCACATTTTTTACCTGACATGCGGTGCAACTTTCAAGCGCACAGCCCACGGCTATGTGAAATGAGAATGCAGCACCGTCTGTTCGTTTCCAATATCTCGAAAACGAGTGACAGATGCTAGAGTACGAACAGCCACAAATACGTGCCATCACGAACGATATTATGACACTTTCTGAGTACTAACCACTCATTTTCAAGCTTCTTCCTTTTTCTTTTTGGAATCTTTTAAACTATTTTCTGAATAGTTGAAGGAATTTATTGATCTTTTTGAGAATTTTTCCTCCAACTTTTTCCCTTGAACAAGTGCCAAAAAGAAAAGATGGTTCATTTGATTAATAATAATATTCTTTTTAATCAAAAAATTTTTAAAGCCAATAGAAGATTATTGATGAATGGCGAACTACTTCTATTACTTATAAATCATAAAACTATCTATTACCAAGTCAAGAATAAAGTACAATTATTATTTTAGAACATTTCTTAATACTAAACTACTGTTTTTGAATAATTAAATGTTATATTTATTTAAAGTAAGTTTAAAATAATAAAGCTTGATAAAACTTGTGATCATGTCTAAAATCTGTTATAGGTAAGAAACACAACTCCATTACTTTCACAACATTTTTCATCTGATCTACGTTACCATTATCCTAACGTAATATTGAATGTCATCACCGAAGACATAGTAGCCTAGGTTGATCGGAAATTACAGCAGAGATTGCGGGTAGGATGTAGTTAATGCACCGTAACCATTTGGGAATCCCGGAACATCATGAAAGTTCAAAGGGACACATGGGAAACGATGGTTTTCTCCAATGGCCCTATAGAGAAATTGCACGGATATGGAAAGGGATATAGAAATCGTATTAGCTTCTAGAGCATTTTCATTACAAAATTTATTAGAAAATAATTGTCTTAAGTAGAAATATATATTTATTTACAGTACATTTCACCATAATTATATAAAATTATTTACAAATAGAAATGTATAAAAATAAGTTTCAATAATTCAACAACTATTATTTAAATTATTCAAATTCATGTAAACTTTGTAGAATGCTATCGAAAGAGGGTAAATTTGCATTCATAAATAAATCATGGAGTGAATGTTCTATAATTACCGCAAATACCAAGAGAAGAAATTACTTTAAAAACTTGAAAAAATAAAAAAATAGTTAATAAAAAGTAGTCAAGTCAAAAGCTTTTAATAAAATTAGTATTTAACAATGACTCTTTGTCATCTAGCAACAGTATTTATAACTTAAAAAATTATACAATTATTAAAACTCATCTAAAAATTTTTATGAGTATTATAAATTTATATACAATATTTAATATATACTGAGTATAAAAATAGTATAAATGGCAGGATTTTATTCAACAAAATCATTGATTATTACTCTAGAATGAAAGTTACTATCAACTTATTCTGTATACTTAAGAATTTCATTCTTTCCCCAAAGAAATTTCCTCTCAATGTATTTGCAAATTCATGTACGTGAAAGTTACATCAGTAATCTATCGAGTTGATGGCTAAGCCCAAGTGCTTTGCATAAAGGAGCAGATTGTAGCTTGAAGTAAATTTGTTAACTTTTAGAAAACACAAACAAACATTTGTATTCTCGGATGTGAATAGCTAGGTACACAGTTCAGCCAACCCCCAAGTTATTTATTGATTCAACCTTCATGTTTCACTTCGCATGCTATGTCTCTAAAGAGAAGGATGCGTAGAAGACTTCAGATATTGTTATATACTTTATAGTTTAGCCTCTTTGATCGCATCAGCTTTGCTTCACATGCTTTAGGTGCTTAGGGAAAACTTCAAAACACTTAGCAAGATTAAAAATCTTATTTCTTACACTAAACTCTCTGAAACATAAACAGAATATTAAATTAAATTATTTTACTTCTAAAGTAAATGCAAAGTATAATGAAAAGTTAAATTATAAAAAGTAATTTATTTGAATATTTAATAAAAATAATTGAATATTATTATCGTTTATCTGGTATCCGTAAAATAAATTCAAACAACTTTACTAACTTTACGATGGTAATCAACATTATATAAAATATCATATTAAAAGCGAAAATGATAAAAGTAATGAAGAATAAGATTTATACTTTTAGTATTAATAAAAAAATATAGCTACAAAGTTATGCTTTTGTTAAGTTTGTTTTTAACCGTTTGAAGTTAAAGTTAAAAGGCAATAAGTAGAGAAAATTTTTAAAACTTTTTTTATTACTTTGAGTTGAGTATTAATTTGTGTATAAAAAAAAGAAAAAACAAGTAGTCAAGTGAAAAAAAATTTCTTAAGATTTATATTAAACAATAAGAATATTTAATTTTCCTGTGAAAGTGTCTCATAAGCAGCTTTGCTGAATCCCTACCAGGGCGACAGAGAAATTTATCGCGACTATTTCATAGTTTTAGAGAGAATCCTTATGAATTAATTCTCCTAAAACAAACTGAGTTGTACTATACCAGATTTAACAAAACTATCCTCCTAAAGATAAACTTTTATACTAGACGAACTAACGAGTAAGAAAATAAAATACTAGATTATTATTCATATTCTTTGGTAAACTTTCACTGTTTTTTTTCTTTACAGATTCATTACCTCTGGTTTATCAGCATCAATATAGTTCAATCCAACGGCTTCAGGAACTTGGAGTTCATTGTTGTCTTCTTTGATTCCGAAAGCAACTCGATAAAGGGCTGCTGCCAGAGCAGAGCCTGTTATTGGTCCGAACCAGTAGACCCAGTGTTCCGACCAAGAATTATTCCATATGGCAGGACCGAAGGATCTAGCTGGGTTCATGCTGCATCCAGTATATTTCCCAAACACCATTGCAAGGCAAGATACGGCTAAGCCAAATCTCAAGGCTGTAGAGTCTGTATTAATCTCATTCCGCTTGTCCCATACAGCACATGCAATTGCCATCAATACCATGGTGGCAAGAATTTCCGCCATCAAACCTTGAGCCGTTGAAATCATGGGATTTAGGGCTGTTATACAAAAATTGTGAGCTGCTTCTGGTGAATCATGGAACATCATACCTGTTGGAGTGATCAGCTGTAAGTAGATAACTTTTATTAAATGAAACTATAGTAAATAGAATTGTCGAGAGTTTTATATCTATTTTACTCGAGTACAAAAAAGGATTCCCCTTGGGAAAATATAACTTCAAACAAGGGTAGTGGAGTTCTTTCTTGCAAACTATGTCAATATATTTAAATGTTATTTTTTCTCTATTTCGATTGAAGGATCTTTTATTTTCTATTTTATCATTCATTGACAAATAAAGTATCTTGAATAGTTTTTTGATATAATAACAACATTTTTAATAGAGTTAAAGAAATAATTATATGAAATTATCGAAATTCAAACAGTTAAAAAAAAAACATGATAACTTATAAGGCTTTTTTAAAAAAAAAAATTCAATTATTCCATTCAGATTTTATTATATGATTTTTTCTGGATATTTTAGCACACTCTACTTTGATTTCAATTTTTAAAAAATGCTTTTATTGGATTAGTACTCATATTTTCAAAATTACATCTATTACTCGGAGATGAAAATGAACATCAAAGAAAACTAGGTCATTATCTGAATTTAAATATTCCAACCAATTTTTAAATTAGTGATATATCCTAAAAATAACTCTGAAGATATTTTATTCAATCCATCTCTCAATGCTTCTACTTTTATTTGATTAAAATCGAATAATTTGATAAGTACTTTTGAGATTAATAATAATTTCATTTAATTTTTAATATGACCATTGTAGAAAAAAATAGCTTTCACGAAATGGATTGGAAATCAAATTAAATTTAATCATTTATTGAAAGTATAAAAGTATAATAAAAGAAAAATGTCTTTATCGAATATTTTTAATAAAATCATTCTTCAGTTCAAGATTCTTTCGTCTTTCTGAAGAAACGTTTTTCGTTTTCATCGTAATAAGATGAAATAATTCAGTTGTGAAATCAATCACAAGACGCATAGCAAGTGGAAACGTAGATAGAACTTGTAAATGAATGCAGATTAAGCTAGACCTTGAACTGAAATAGTTTATATCCACAGTATTATAATTTCTACGTACAAATATCAATAATTTTTATCAATACTGTGTAAAAAACATAGATAAATAGTTGATACTAACCTTTAACAGTCCATAACCCATAACTGATCCCAGCATCTGAGCAACTAAATACACCAAACCTTCAGCTATTGATTTTTTCCCTAATACAATAGATCCGACAGTGATTGCAGGATTAACGTGAGCATGACTTATATGTCCAAAACACTGGAAAATACATTGTCTGTTATTAAATTACCATTCATGTGTACATGCAAGTTTAACATACACTTGATAAAATTTATTATTATGACTCATCCGTCAGTTTAAGATCATAGAGTAAATGTGAAATATTTTTTATTGATTTTTCAATTCTTGAAGTTACTGAAGGTTACATGATAACATTTCAATCAAACATATCAAATCAAGATGAAAATGTCAATCATTTTTCGCTTTAAAATCTACCAGATTTTTATTTTTAACTGATGAGTTAAAATTTTGTCGTCATTTTGACAAGAAATCATTTGAATGTTTTATTCCATTAAAATAAGTTTTAATAAATTTTTCATAAAAGAACAATTTATATATTTAATTTGCTAATTGATCTAATTGTAAGTGAAGGATTAAAACCTCAAATGTTTCGTTTTAGTGAAATAGAAATCAATTCAGATATGAAATTTATTACAAACCTGTATAACGATCATTACTGCCAAACCAAATGTCAAATTAGCTTGTAGATAGGACGGCACAATTCCCAAACTTCCAATGCATCCTCCACATCCTAGCAACACTAACATCGCTGTACCCGCAAACTCTGCTGCACCACACAGAAGCGTGTCCCATATTTCACCGTGGCCATACATCATCTTATGTAGCTCTGGAAAAATTTATCTTTCTCAAAATAATGGATTTCACCAATAAGTATCTACGATAGCTGATAAATGATGGTATAACAGAAACTCTATTATTAGTCATAAAATTTTTTAATAAGTTGTATAAAAATTAAAACTTCATTAATTTTACACTAAGTTTTGTATAAGAAATTTATCAGTTTTATAGTGATTTATGATGTTTATGAATGATTAATGAGAATTAACTAGAACTTAACTAGTATTATCAAGATTATATATTCATTCAACTAGAAATTCATTCGATGATAAAATCCAACAGCTCTGGTGAAATGGCTTAATTATTGAGCAGCATTTAAAACAAATATTTCAAGAAGAGTAATAAACCATTAACTAGTTTCATTCTACTAAAATTTCAATGATAATCTCTATAACTCATACTCTAGACATTCCTAAAAATAGTTTATTTATTTCTTATCTTGAAGTAATTTTTTAATTGATCAAAATTCTATTGTTTTAATAAATAGTTCTGTAGGTTTCAGTTAAACAATTCATTCCTTTAAAAAAAAAAAAGCAATTTCTATCGAGTATTAAAAACCTTTTATCTTATCCAAATATTGATTACATACTCACTTATCGTAAGTGAATGTCTGTATAATTAATTAGGTTATTCCTAGTTGAATGGAGTGAGTGTGATTGATAATCCTTCAAAGATCAGTAGAATTTATGATTCAATCTGTGGTATAATTACTCGATTTTAAATCGCACCTGTTACGAGACAAGCGATTTATGAGTCGCAATGTACTTCCAGTGTTTCTATTCGAGAAACTCGGTTGGGATTGTATACATGTGTAGACAATACATACCTACCTAGTATACTAGAAAACAAAAACACAAACGGAAATATATAAGCAGCCTCCGGTGATAACGTTATCATCATAGTTTTCTTTATGATTAATTCACATTTCATTTTATTTTAAACAATGAAGAATTTTAATTAACCATTTTTAATCAAGGTTATTGAGAACTTGATATTGCTAGTTGTCACAGTATTCATTCATATTAAATCAACAAACACAATCTTATTCTGATCAATTATTCATTTTTTCTAATTGATTGTCTATGTAAAGATCTAGTAAATTATTACTATTTATCATAAGAAAATTATTCTTAAGAAGTTTTCAACATTTTTATTTAGTAACAAAAATGAATAAATGAGTAAATAATGATAGATACAATGTTTTAAAATAATCTCTTATTTTATAAAAATTTTTTCATCCAACTATTTGTCATAATACTTAATGTTTTTTCTATTTGTTTTTCTAGTTCCAGTAGTCATTGAGTCAACAATTTTTTTTGGGATAACAGATTTTTTTATTGAATCTACTATCATGTGAGTATCAAAAGTCATGTTGATAAGTAGTTAAGGAATGGGTGTTAAATTTAGACTTTTATCAAAACTTGAACACCTAGCCATCTAAAAATATCATTGATATTATTCACATTCTAAATAATCAATAGTCAAATGGTTTTTCAAAGTTAATATGTATTTTTTTTTTTAGTAACTTTGATATCAATAAGTGAATGATGTTCAAAATATTATTGTTGATAATTATTGACATTGAATCTTGCATTGAGTTGTTGCTTTTATAAAAAAATAATTCTTTTATCAATATTAATTTGCTGAGTTGTCATTAATCAATGGTCACTTATTTTTTTAAAAGTTGCATATTACTGTTTAAACATTTTGCAAACATAAAAGTTCATCAGGTCATAACTGATATGATTAAATGATGTAATATTTGTGATACATAATTTTCTTTTCTCCATAAGACACACCTAATCTTTAGCATGGTATTATTGCGAATAAACATTTACGAGTGAATTTAATAACACGACAGTTCACAGTATAAAAAAAAAAACTTATATGTATCCACTACTATACGAGCACACATGTGTTCCATTTTTTTATATTATCACTCTAAGCCTTGAAATTATTCATAAACGTGCATATCTGTATATGCACTAAAAAAAAATATAAACATGTTTAAGTATGCCGATTTTTAAATAGCTTTTCAGTATTCTGTAAACAACCAGAGCATTCTTTTTAACTTTAAAATCACGTCTAGCTGTGATGAAGTGACATGTTATGTGTGTTCAAAAAACAAATTAGGTGTTAAAAAATTCTCTTTTAGGATGTTGAAAAGTAGATCTTTCACCTACTGGTCAGACTCAATTTATCTTCAAGTGACGTAGTCAGTTGCATAAATGTGATAATAATTTTATCGGGTTCACAAGTATTTAAAACATCTCATTTTATCAAACTTTCTAAATATAATTCTACAAAAAGTTCATGAGAAATACAATCGATTAATTATGTCAAATTTGATTTCACAATAAACTAATTTATCACCATTTTTATCGTTTAGGAAATGAATAATCTCATTGATTATTAATGAGCATTAAATATTATTAATAATAATTTTGAATACAAGAATTTTGTTGGAATGTAAATTTGAGCATGAGATGAAGTTATTTCGATAAAAGCATCAATTGAACAGTTTAATTAAACTATTATGCTATCGCTAACTTCTATGTCCATTAGAGTTCATTTAAAATTGAAATATTTCCACAAGTGTTTTTAATTTTTTCAAATATAATATTCCATTAAATATTATTATCATATAAACTAAGTATAATATTAAATATATATAAAGTGTGGATGATTATCATCGAATAAGCACTAAAAATTTTAAATGAAACCTTTTAACACATATTGATAATTTAATATCTGTGATAATAAATTAATTAATTAAGTTATATTGGTAAAGCTGGATTTAATTAAATTATTATCAATTTTATCTTTGATTGAAATGATTGTTAACAATATTAATATTTGACCGATTGTTGCAACTTTGATGACCTCTGAGTGTTTAATGAAGCTTAAATCGACATTTCGAAAGCTAACCAACTAATTCTACGGCATTCATGTTAGAAGATTAGGCGTTGATTAGGTAGCATGCGACGAAGCATAGGATGTCAGTGCAATCTCCCTATTAGCATCAACGACCAAGGCCACTGTGGAATCGGTGACTACACAAATTAACTAATCACTTAAACAAGAGCATTCTAACTTCCATGTTTCTCTAAGTCTCCTTAGTCATCTTCAAATTTCAACAAATCCTTGAAACTACCTGGTAATCAGAATTAATGTTCAATTGATTTTATATTAATAATTCATAAACCGTTTTTTGCTACCGATTTGGTTGGTTGAAACTTAAGGTTCGAATGTATGAAAGGTTGCAGGGTCGAACATTAAAATAAAAGAATCGATGCGATCGGGGGAAGTTGAAAGCTGTCGAATGCATGCATAATCTAAAAGGTCACAAGCAGAACTCACTGTGCATTTCATTGTAATTTTTAAATCCACCTCAATATCTTAACTTTGATGTACTTGGTAATTAAATAGTCAAAGTAGGTAGTTACTATCATTTTAATATTTCAGATTTTAATTAAACACTAGTTTCTTTTTATTAAATATGAAAAAGCAAAAAAAAAAAAAAATTCTTTATATTTGTTCCCTTGTACTTGAGTTTAGCTTTATTATTATTGATGTCACGTGGATATAGCTGTGAACATTAAATGAAATTGCCACAAGTCTAACCAGTTTTCCTTAATCATGTAATTTGAATTCACGAAAGTTATGTATTTGAATACATAGAAATTTAATTGAAAAAATTAATTGTCACTGTTGTTTTAGATATTTTAAAAATTGATGTTTCACATTTTCTTTCTTTTTATTAACTTTATAAACAACTGATTATTATTTAATTTAATGCACCAAGAGCTACCATTTTATTCTTGTTTATTATTAACATACATTATTTGTCATTATTGTCGATTCTGTTTATAAATCAAACAATAGTTCATATTCTAAACAGATAGTTAATTCGTAATTTTGAATAACTTTTCGTAGAATTAAATGAAGATCCTTGAATTTATAGTAAAGTAAGCATAAATTTGAATAATCGAATATTATTTAAAGTTTTTAATTAAAAATTAACTCACTCAATTTTCAGAGGATGCTTATGATAGCTTGGCTGCTTTGAAACTATTTATGCAAGAAGAGATGAATATGAATGATAGTTTCACAAAAAATGGGCTAATATAGACTTACTCGACTTAGATTCACGATTAGACATCTTTCCTGGTGATTTATTGATCTTGCACTAGATTAAAATTTGTTTTATGAGAGATCTATCACAAGTGACTTTTCAAGGAGAAAGATGATGCTTTCGAGAGAGCGTCTTACTACTGTTTGTCACTCGAAGCAACAACTCGCGTTGTCAATTTTATCATGCAGAACACCCACGGATACCCGATTTTTTCCCCTCCATTCACTCGATTCCTACGTCCAGTGGTTACTGAAAGTACTCGGTGTGCTGCGTTTACATTAAAAAACACGTTATTTTATTTACTGATTGTATTATTGATTAATCTTGATGTCAGCACCTATTACAACAAACTTTTATATTATTCTTCGTTATAAATATTTAGAGTACACTGGAGAAAAAATTTTTCTTCAATATATAAACAGATTTTTTTTTATAAATATTCTTGTTTAAAAGATTTGTAATGATTATATTTAATGCATTATGTACATTATATTATAAAAAATCTTAAATATACAAAATTATCACATTTTCTTCGTGGAAAAAGTGGGTGATTTATAAATAACTTTGTAACAATAAGTAATCAACGAAAGAATAATTAAACAAAAGATTCAAGTTTATTAGAATCATTGATAATAGTAGAAATATTCAGTATAATTTATTATAGATTTTTTTATAAATATTTACATTTCAGATGAATAAAATAGAATAATAATGTTCATAGTTGGAAAATTTTGTCTTGGATTGTATCCATTTCGTAGTATTACCTTCTAATGAATTATTTAGAAATTGAACTCTACAAAACAAGCTTTAGAATAAATTACAATTTGTTGTACTATCTTTCACTCACTGAACAATCATTAATTAGTAATGTAATAACATTTTTTTAGGATTGTTGTCATTAGTTATGAAAACAGCGTAGCTGTTCTATTTTTCCAATTGTAATTCGCTGATTAAACAATCCAATTTTGGGAGAAATAATTTATTTATAAGGGTGAGCTAATAAACAATTCAATTAACAATAGAGTTAAAATTATAATGATTTTACTTTACGATTTTCCTAGCAATTAAAGTGTACTAACGAGATAGAAATACGGATTAGCACACATGAGAGTAGGATATAATAGGGCAGGTAATAGTATCCAACAGTTGTTGAAGAATAAATAGATAAATGGATTACAAATGTAAAGTAGATAAAACAGGAACAAATTAATGTTGAATAATGGAAGGTTTAACAAAGAGCACTTATTGCCAATAATTATTTAATAGCCAGTTGTTAACACTTCGAGTATTCATTTCTCCTTTGCTACGGTTAATCAGTTAAGCTGTTAGTTTAGTTGTCAGTAACTCTTATCAAGTGAATTCTTCTATTCTTTACTACATAATTATATAGTTAAGTTTCTGAATATAACTCATGTGGATGATTTAGACACTTATTATTTGAGAGTTGATGTTGAATCTGTACAACTAACCGTGTTTAGTAACAAGAATTTGTGGAATTATAAAAACGATTTTTTATATCCATGACTGACGTAATGACTCAAATTATATTTTTAATATAATAAATTCTATTTTTTTACGCCTGAAAAATGAAAAAATTAATTTTATGAAAGAATGTGTAAATAGTAGATAAATATTAGATAGTAAAACTTTCCATCTATTAAATCCAAGAGAAATATATTTTTTCTTGCCATTTAACACCGCATAATATGATAATACGCATTTTTTTCACAAAAAGTTTCGCTAAAAATACGAATGTATTTATAATGAGAAGTTGATCTCATTTTTATAAATAATACGAAAGAAAAAGCATCTTTGCTACTCATATATTACTCAAAATAAAAATTAATATGTGATCAAAAATAACTTACAATTTATATTCAATATTTTTTCAAGTATTTACAAGTACACTTAACTAAAGAATGCAACGACCATGAATGAAAATGACAAAGTCATAATAAGAATAGGTATTGATAATATTCAACAAGTTTTATTTTATAAAAAATTATATTAAATATATTTAATAATAAAACGTATACAGAATGATATAATTACATCTCTTTTTTTGTTTTAAAGTAAAAAATAAACAATTTATTCACGAAAGTTTATCTCAATATTTCCAAAACAGGGTTATAGACAACGCTTAATTCGATATGTATATTATGTACATTTCTTGTTATTTTACTCAAAAGCTCAAGTGAATGTTGCAGAGTAGTAATAATGTTCCAATTAAAACTTCAACCGTTGATTTTATAATTAAATGATATATTTAGAATGCAATAATGAGAATTTACTGCAGTTACTAATTTTATGACAATTAAATTAATTAAGCTGTTGAATACTCTAAACTCCACTTCAAACTCTGCAATATTCTTAATTGATATTTTTATTATTTACTATATGAATCTATGCCAAATCTTCGTATGTTTTAATATCTCATAATATAAAATATTATTTACTTTACAAACTAAAAAATTTTTTTTCAAAATATTTTCATCTTAAATTAAAAGCATCATTTGATACTGTTTTTAGTCTTCAACTCCAAGAAAGTTATATCTAATCATTTTTTTACAGTATTAAAAAAACGAACAATATTTATATCACGTATTTTTTTAGTCTTTTTTCATAAAAAAATTCATACCTAACTGGCAAGTTATTTTTACCAGTCTTAGTTTATTAACTATCCTATGGAATATAAATGGAAGCAATTTATGTAATTTTTATGAACTGAATGATTGTATTGTGGAAGCTTTCTGATGCCAACAATTCTTTCATTTTTTCCAGTTGTGTTGTTAATTTGAATTTCTTAAATTCCTCCTTTGGCATTCTTGAATCCATTCAAATGAAATAAACTATGTTTAAAGCTAATGTATCGAGGAAGTTCAGAATTAGATCTGAAAAGAATAAAAACGAAATAGTTAGGAAAAACTATATTGAATTTTTGATTAATTGTTTTTTTATATTGCAGAGTATTACCTCAGCCTTTTGTGAAGTTGCAAGTACACTGCACTCTTCTGAATTACACTTGGTTGGGGAGAACATGGATCGATACATAACTGATGCGAGAAGTGCACCACCAATGGGTCCAAACCAAAAGATCCAATGATGTGTCCAATAATTATTCCATATTGCTGGTGCTAATGATCGTGCAGGGTTCATACTGCATCCTGTGTATGGTCCAAGAGCCATGCAAAGCACAGCGACGGTTAAACCGAATTTAATGGCTGTTGAGTCGGTATTCCTTTCATTACGAACATCCCAAATCGCACAGGTCATGAACATGAGAATTGCAGTAACGATTATCTCTCCAAGCAAGCCTTGAATGATAGAGATGTTTTCATGTAAGTCGGTTACGCAAAAACTGTCTGTTGTTGATGGTCCACTTGAACTATAAAGGAGTATGGAAGGAGTAACTGCCTGTAAGTAATTACAGTTTCATTAGAAGATTATTACTTGGTCTTTCAGCTAACAATTTATCCTTTTTTAGACTTAAAATAATTTTTCATTTGTCTGAATCACATTCATAATTTTATTTTAAATTAAAATCTCATTATTTAATGTTGTAATTAGCAGAAAAATAATTCAAATTTTATCAGAGTTTAACTTTCTTAAATTAAAATTACAGTAGTCATTGATTGCATAATATTTATTGATTTATAAGGATCCATTTTTTTTTCATTATTGCCAAGTGTTGCCTTATTGAAAAAATATTGACGCCAAAAAATTAGATAACTTTATTCTTAATTAACAATTACTAACCTTGAGCAAACCATATCCTAAAATAGCACCAGTACATTGAGCAAGGAAATAAACCGATGCTGCAGCTAGGGTTTTTTTTCCAAGTACAACTGCACCGACAGTAATAGCAGGATTAATATGAGCGCCACTGATGTGTCCAATACTCTGTAAAAAAATTTAGTCATTAATAGTTCTTGTCAAGAATTCGTTACTAATTTTTTTTTTCTTTTACAGAATCTCTTAGTGCTAATTTACCTGGATAATCAGCATAACAGTGAACCCAAAGACGAATGAGATTTGAAGTGGAGCTGGTTTGGTTCCTAAACTGCCTACACATCCCATGCATCCAATAAAAACAAGCATTGCAGTTCCTATAAGTTCAGCAAGTCCGCTCTTAGCCAAATCCCAAGCTGAACATTCATCTTGAATTAGACTCTTGAGCCCTGAAGCAGATAAACGATGATATGGTAAGAGATAATCAGATTAATTTATTTGATTGACTCTTGAGAGTGGAGAATTTAATTATCTTGTTACATCAAAAATTATTGCAATTATAACTGAGGTATTATTGAAAGGTCAATGAAAATTAACATGAAGCTACAAATGGTGCGGTAGAAATTATCAAATGTTGCAGGAGCAGTAGCCGCAAGCTAAACTGCAACAATCGACCGCAATTCAATTATACAATGAGATATGATAAATAATCATTATTTCACTTTGTATCATTTCTATTGTTGCTCAGATTAATCAAAATTAATCAAGCTAATAATTATTTTTGAAATGTTTATAAAATACAAATTATAAATAAATTACTTTAATTGATGAGTATTTATTATCAATCTATTTTACTTTATAATACATAAATAATGTGCTCCAGATTATTTCAATGAAAAAATTATCGATTAAATAAATATAATTGGAGAGATAAATCAATTAAAAACTCATTAATTTTATTTTTATTAAATCAAATGAGTTTTATGACTGTAACAGTAAAAATGTCTATAAAATTCATTTAATGAGATCATTTAATGTTTTCTTATTATTAAAAAAAAAGTAAAATATTCAGAGTTATTAGTTGTTTCAAGTATGTTATACAGCATATATTAATTTGTCCTCTAGTGAAAACATATCCAACTGATGTTTAATATTTATTAGTTCATGGTCATTTTCGTACATTTACATTCAATGGCAGTTGATAAATTTATTCAAATGATTTTCATTTAGTTATGCAGATAAGTTCAATAATTTTTATTTCTCTAATTATATTCATTAAAAATAAAATAAAAATGTCTGGAAAAAAAGAAATCAAAGTTGAGAATTAGAATTCGTTAATTATTGACTTTTCATCAAATTCCTTTAATTATTTATCAATTATTTCAATAGTAATCGCTAACTTGTCATGAACATTTAAATAGACTTTGGAATGACACTTGAATGAAAATAATTCCTGCTACTGAATACTTAAGGAATCAGAGTTATGGTAGTATCTGAAAATCTCTAACGAAAATGAAAGTAAATAATCAACAATTATTTGTACCTTTCACTTTTCATCCTAATCTTTTCTAAAGTAATTTAGAATTTTTCTTTTTTTTTTGTTTAATAAGAAATGATAAGATCACAGAGAAAATTGAAGTTGAAGCTATCATTAACTCTTAATTATGAAAACAGCAAACGAACCATGGTGGTCAACAGATTTTCATCTCCAAACAAATAAAATTTTCAATACAAGAGATGTCTATCTGTATGTATAATTTAACTTACTCATTGTTATTTAAGAGAAATTATTCATAATTTGCAAAAATATACTTCATATAGGTTCATGTTAGTTTACCACAATATCTGTAATTAGAATAACGATATTTTTTCATAAATTTTAAATTTAGAATACTGATAACAGGTAAATTTGTAAATAATACTTCAGTATGAAGTGGCAGAAACACGATAAAATTGATTTTATCGTCGGTAATTCACAGGTAGTTTCCACAATCTATCATTTACCGGTAAACTTTTAGCTACTGATAATCACTTGCGAAGAGATTTCAGTTGCGATCAAAGTAGATTTCTCTGTCATTAAGTCATTTAATTCACAAAAGAACAATAAAATAATAACATTTGTCACGATTTTCCGGTTTTCTTATGTAATTTTTTTGTCATAGTAAAAATACCTATAATGTCACGAGTTAAAATTCAATCATTGAATAATATCGCATAATTCTTGCATAACTTACTATTAAAACAATAGCTTGTGGCTTTGTAGTTTCAATTTTAAGAGTTAATAATATTTGTAAATTTAACTTCCTGAATATTAGTTAATGAATTGACTTTAATAGCATGGAAAGTCGAATCATCAATGCTGACAACCGCACAAGGAAGTAGTTCTTTGATGAATTCAATTTTGATATTTTTAAAAATAAAAACAATGAGATAATCATCGTAACAGTAGATCCTAATATTGTAAAATCAGATTTGTTCTCTACGACTAGACAGAATAGCAATATTTATGAGAAATTTCATACTGACAAATGTCTTGGAAATCGTTTGACCTATTTTGATTACTTGTAAGTAGCTTTTTAATCTAGGTCTCCTAGTATAATACATTACAAATCAAAATTTGAGTTTAATTGATTAAATTCATTTCAGGTTAAACAAATTAACAACATTGTTAACGATTTATCAATAATGATATTTTAACGATTGTGAATAATTTCATTAGTTATGTAAAAAATTTTGTGAGTTTCAGATTATTATGAAATACTTAATACTTTTAAAAATATTATAGACTATAAAAATTAATCAACACTTTTTTTATTATTGTCAATAAAAAGTTTATGCCTGTCCAAGCAACCAATACTAGAACTGATATTTAAATAATTAATTTTAGCTTGTGTTGATTTGAGATACAAACTTCCCTTTTTATTCTTCTACGTTTCAGAATATAAAAAAAATCTTTTCAAACATTATTAATAGATGTTTTTCACAAACAATTTTTTTTAATCTTTAATCATTAAAAATTATATAACTAATTTTTTAATTTTATATGAATATGACATATTTTATCATCACCTTAGAATCTTAATTATATAATTTTTTATCATTAAAATGTCTTTGTTTTAATTTTTTCTTGTATTTTTTTTATCAAATTGAAAAAATTCCATTGAAAAAGCTATAAACTTTGCTCGCATATCTATAGAATTCTTCACATATCAAACTTACTAAGAAAGAAAAAAAATATGTTCAATAAATAAATATTTTTTCATAACATCGCAGAAAATATTTAATTGTTTAAATGATTTGTTTACAGCCCAGATGGTCATCATTACATACTATGATGTTGAATGGATGTCTCTGATTGTCTCAAATGCTCAAGTTTTAAGGAATGAAGGTAGCACGAGTCATTGTAGGTCAAGTTCAACAGGCCAGTGGTCAATGACCATAGAGTAAGTTTCGTCAATAATAAACAGCTTTGGTAATAAGTTTAAACACGTTTATATGATTCGCACGTAAATTTATCTATATGTGGATGTTTCGGAAGAATTCTCATAAATTAAAAGACTGGATCTACTTTTTATTCTATAAACTTTTACAAAATTGAGGCCACAGTGCTAATAAAATTTTAAAAAAATAAAGAAACTACATCAATGACAGCAGATTTTCACTATACTTAACAAAAAACGAATTGGCACGTGTAAGAAAATTCATTAGAAAGATCGCAATAAAATACCTGCTGACAATAACAAATAAACATTCTTGTAGAGTTATAAAAATAGAGTTATTATTTCTATTTGTGCACATTTTTATTTTTGCACTATAATGGATTAAAGTCACATTATGAACAATAATTATACACTTGTTATTCTGCAGTTAAATAAAAATAATTCATTATCAAATATTAAGTGTAATCAACTGATGTGTTGATAGTAAATTTACGTCACATGCCTTTGAAGAAAAACATCTGTTATTGAATAATTTTTCTATACATCGTTTGGTGTTTAAAAAAATATTTAACAATTCAATCTATCAACTTCTTTTAAAAGTAACAAATATAGCTGTTTAAACAAAAGAAAGAGTTATCATGTAATATGATATAATCGTTTTGAATTGCTACATCAATAATGGAATAAAAAAACGAAAATAAACGAAAGAAAAATAAAAGAAATAACTGAGCAAAGAAAAGTCTAGAAAAATGGTCTTTTTTGCATTTGCAGAAATGTTTATAGCTATTATTATTTCAAGTAAAAAATATTTTTTTCATTTCCTTCCTTTTTTAATTAAGTAATGAAGAAAGTATCTTAATTTGTTCATTACCATTAAACTTTTTTAAATAAATACCTGCCATTACAGTAGACTTTCTTTTCGTAATATGTGTGCAAGAGTAATAGTAGAATAACAGAGTGCCCATTGTAAGAACAATAATGTAGCAAATATCTTTGAGAAATCTACTATTCTACTTTCATGGTAAACAAACGAATACAAACAATAAAAAGATAGATGCCGGAAGAGAAGAAATTAATCTCCTATTTTGCATGGATTACAGTGAAATTTCGCCAATGTTTATTTATTCTCACGAATTTTTTTAGACCATAAAAATTTCAAATACTTTATTTGTAACAATAAAGTACACATTGATGACTTTGCCAACTATTTCCTAAGATAAAGTTCTCTATCAAATTTATTAAAAACACAAAGTATCCTTTAACATGATTTTTTGCAACTTTTTCCCAACATTCATGTAGCAATGTCTATTTTTTATGTATTTTAAATGAACAAATAATTTTGAAATATCTAAATATACATAGTTTCGAAACATTTATATATTTTTATTTTTTAGCAGACGTGCTGTTGTCTGGTTCAGTACCATTTCAATAGCTACATCAACACTGCCTCCAACGGATCAATATATACCAGCACAAGATGATGATAACTCAATGGAGATAAGTCTGATCATTCCATTTCATTACATTACTGATTTTTATTGTTAAACATCAAACATTGGAATGAATTGTTTCTAACTTACTGATTATCAAAAATTGATTAATAATAACTAAAAGCACTTCTGTTTAAGTTGAAAAATGAATTTAAAGTTCAACTTGAGATAGTAGCCAAGATATTTCAAGTGTGCAGTTCGCTCATATGATTGGTCTCAGTCATAAATAAATTATTTATATGAATAAATATATAAATAGTTACGTCAAAACACATATACTTTGATGAAGAATTTGATTTAATTAATACTTAAAGTGCCATTATTGACACCGGAAAAAAGGTTCATCTGATTAGGTGCCAAGGTGACTATGCTATTTGACATGATTAAGAAAGAACTTACTAGAGAATTCATGAAAAATCTGGAGCTGACTTTCTTCTTAGTTTAGTGATAGAATAGTGATATATTAGTGATTAAATTTAAATTCTAAGTAAACAAATATTTTACTGATATCGTGAAAAAATGGAGTAGTGACCACAATATTGATGATCTTTAATTTATTATTGAGTTCAAGATACTTTCTATTATAACAGGAACATCGTCAGAAGTATTTTTGATTAGTATTCTACCATTGAGTAAATTATCTTATCTTTTCATTTACTACCTTATTCTAACAATTTCAATTGCATTAAAATTCGAAAGATAAATTTTATTATATTCTAAATATCACACATATGTATATATTTACTTACATGGAGCGTTAATTTTAGCTGCGTTACTAAGTTTAGAGCTTGATGGGAGACCAATACTTCTCTTAGATTTGGCAGTGGAATTTTCAACGTTGCCATTTGTAGTGACTATGGATATATTTCCTTGTTCCATGTTGATAAATTTTGATGATTCTTCTGATGTTGTAGGAATATCCTAAAATCAAAGACAATTTTTTTTTTTTTAAACAAACTTATAGTTTTAAATCACTTATTTTTAAAAATTCTATGATAAAAAAATTTTAATACAAAAAATTACAATAAAAAATCAAAAACTGATTTTTTCTTTTTAAGAAAGTAATAATTTACTTTTTAGTTAAAAAAATTTTAAAACTGAGCAATCATTTCATTATTCAGTACAATATTTATTAGAAAACAAAAGTAGAAAATTTATGATGTTTTTAGAAATTCTCACTTAACAAATATTCTTTTCAATAAATAATTTTCTATTGAAAAAAAAACCACTATCACTCACCAATTCAACACAATTAAATCGCGTTGATATTTAAAATTGTTATTTTAAAAAATAGTAAATATTAAATTTGTAAACCATAAAGATAAAAATAATTTAAAGTTGCAAAATACAAATTGTTTATATCAGCTGAGGACTTGAACAGTCGCGTGGTCTACCAGAGACTGATTCAAGCTGGCAGGCGTACACTCGACTATATGTAGAAGCTCTCACTGCTGTTAACGACCCGCGTTCAGCCTCCCGTTATAATACGCGCTCGAAACTACGCACAAATCGTTAAACGTGATACATATGAACCAGCTCACGTGCTGCCGAATGAATAAACAAGAATGTTTTTCAAATTTATATTTTAAATTACATAATTTATTGTATTTTTCATCCTCTTGTCATGGAACATAACTAATTTTATTCATACTTTAATTCAAATTTTACATTAATTCAGTTAAAATATTAATTAAACTTTATTTATTAAATTGAGACTTTTAAATATTTCGTTTAACTATTATATAATATACACACGCAGTAGTACAACTAAACCCTGTCACATGGTCAATTGAAATACTTGATCATAGCTCCAATTGAAATGCTATTTATTTAATCTATAGTAAATAATAAATATTTTTATTCATCTAATTAGTATTATATATTTCAATTTAAACTTTAACCTTTACTTCTTATTTAAATAAATCAGTAGTTGATAATTTATTTAATTCAAATCTCTTTATTTCAGTACTTTGTTCCGGTCCAATCCAGCTACGACGTACTCCACTTTTATCACTTGCTTAAATCTCGACATTTTCAACACTTCAAGATCACTTGATGACTTTTTAAAATTGTTGTTTGCCAAATTAAATGATCACTCAGTAACAACTTCAGTGGAGATAATTTGGGAGAAAAAAAAACAAAATAATATGGCGTACCTTTGATGAACATTGGATCACTTCACTATTTTCTTCTAAAATGGATTTATCCATGATAAATTGGCACTGGGTTACGTATTTGAATAATATCAGGTAATTTACGTCAGTAAATATGAAATTATTTTATAGGTAGTTTGTCTTAAGTTAAAACATGAGCAAAATTGATAAATAATGAATACTGATTGAGATTTTAAGAAGTACTTTGATTACACAAACTCTAATTTTTAGGGTGCACGAAAATGTCGTGCGACATTTGAGCAACCCTGGCTAGCATGTACTCCAAAGTAGGTCGACCGAGGTCACGGTAAAGCCGAAATGCAACGTAGATTTCCGAGGATTGACGAACAACCCCCGTCAAACACACAACTACAATTTATCGATAAGTTTACACATAGTAATTCATGTCATGCAATATTTCATTCATCCCTTATTGTTACTAAAGCTTAGTATGATACCTATTGACCTACTACAGCTACCTGCAATGTCACATATAGTTTATTAATCAATAGTATTTTTTATTTCATTCAAGATCATCACAAGAATTTCTTTGATCAACTTATAATTAATTTATACTCTTATTAATTCATACTGCTTTTCAATTTTACTTGATCGCGTGATAAAAATAAAGTATAACGTCTTGAGCTGGTTTACTTTATTAAAGAAAATAAAAAAAGATGTTTCATAGAACGTTGGAAGAAGATAAAAGTGAAATGGCTAAATGAGTAATAAACAAAATTTAATAGTTTTTATGGGAAGACTAAATACAGTCTATGTTAGGTCACGGTCTTTTATTTAAAGTTTAATTCTTTCTCTTGGTCAAGGTTTCGTTCATTACTTTCTTCAAAGAATCTTTAGAAAATCAGGAAGACAAAGAAATCTGAATCATTTATGATTTTATAGTCTTATAATAAACAAATTATCCATCATACATTGAAAAAAAGTATAAAATTTATTCTTCAATAGTAATCCTTTCTCTAGATCAACACAAAAATACAGTAATAATCTTTTGTAATATTTTTTTTAATTGCTTCATGTACTTTTCAATCTTCGATTAATCAACTCTCATTTACTTACAATGTATAATTACATGTTATATAAATTATTTATTCATCTAAATGTATTCACGTGAAGAATAGTCTAGAAAACCTTTCTCCATTAGTCTACCCCTTTCATTTTATGATTTTGTAGTCAATTTATTCTCAATAATTAACATTAAAACTTCTTTTATGTTAAACAATTAAAATACATGACATGAATTTTTTTTATTACATATACAATTGAAGAGAAATATTTATATAATATTATTCATCTTATTTAACAGTATTTGCTTTTTAGAGTAAAGCTTTCACGATCAGTATAACTTCATACTCAAATAAATCTTAATTGTCTATTCGTATCATATTGTTCTGACATAACTTGCTATTGAAGTCAAACTTATATTTGCATTGAACATATATTTGAACTATTTCTTCTTAGTTTCCTGTTTTTTTTTTCTATTTTTCTTCATTAAACATCTGTTGCTTAATTTTGAAAAACTTGGAATCATTAATATTAACTTGAAGTCTTTCTACACTTTTTCTCTTTACTTTACTTAATATTTATCTTTCAATCAGAACTTTGATTATTATTTACTCAAAGCATCTACAGCTGTTTTATTATCAATCTGCCTTATCATCAAATCATCAGTGACATCAATCTTACCTAGTAATCAATTTAGTAAACTACTTTAGTAAAAACGTAATTAGTTGATCCATTCTATTGAAATAAAATAAAAATATTAATGAATTAATTAAACTATTGAAATAGTTATTTAATTAAATTTTCAACTAAATTAAAAAAAAAGCTTTATAAAATTAAGCTTTAGCTGGCAAATTTTTGTTTTTATTGTAAACATGTTTGAAATATTTTTATATAACAATTTATCATGATATATTTCCTTTCAACTGATAATTAATGGAAATGCTATCATCATGAAGATGCATTTTTTAATCACAATTAATCTCTTTCTCATTGAAAAATTATTTTTCTCTTAATATACATTTTTATTTACTCGTTAGCATAATAAAATACTAATTTCAAGACTGCTCGACTCAAGTCACGGTCACTAATCAGAAAATTGTTGAGCTGTTAGAGCATGCAGAGTGAAGAAAGCGCGTATATCATGCTTTGGAAACTAAATTCCATGCTGCACAAATGATTACACTGTCATTAAACTCGTTGTTTATTAACTTGTTCTTGCCAATGTGCTGATTGTTCAGCCTTACCTCGAGAAAAAACAGCAAATCGATCACAATCGACAGATATTTTATGAAGACCTCGGGAATTGAATGATCGAACAAATCTCTATATCCCTGAATAGATTGATAGATGAACAGCAACTGAATAATGATCAACTAATGACCCCGATTACCTGTTGTGTGGCATCAAGAACAACGTTCAAACATGTTGAGTATCATCTGGAATTGACTAAAAACCACAGGATGTAGACATGAATTGAAGTCTATCATGCTGTTTAATATTTTGAATATGTGAGTGCGGGATGTCACTTGTATTTTCATTGAGCAGTCTCGGATGTAATGGAACCCACTGAGTGTTGCTGGTATCATATGACTGATGATAAGCAATAGAATAATTACGATACCACGTAAATACTGATGTGATTTAAATCCAAAATAATTCATTACTTCCTTATTAAGTGTGATTTGTGCTGACTTATAATTGGAGCAGAGTATTTCTGCATACAGAATTATGTATCAGGAAATAATCATTTTTAATGATAGATCAGACTAAGGAAGATCTAATAATCTTTCATTTTGTTTCAGTAAGTTAAAAACAATTATTTGTAGCTGTGAGTTACAAAATGAATGACGATAAATTGTTCTGTTTTCAATTAAAAATTTTATTACAAGACTTAAAATTACATCAGATGATGAATAGATGACATCTTCGTATATTTTGATTTATTTTAGATATCTTACAAAAAAAAATACGTATGATCATTGAATAAATTAAAGGAAAAATTAATTCATGTGGAAGTGTATTAAAATGTGAATTACATACAATTTAGAATTGAATTAGATCACAGTTTTTGCAATAAAACAGAGGAATGATTGAAATTATATGATGAGTAAGAGTAACAATCATCAATTTTTAATAAACTCTAATGGCATAAGACATTTTGTACGCATTATTATTTTTTACAGTAGTAATACTTGATTAATAATAGTAATTTAATTAGAATTAGTACTAATAAACATCATGTGAGTGATATTAATTCGTTATGAATATAATTTCGAGATTGCTCAATAGTCATCTTTACATAACAATTTCTTTTTTGTTCGCCGAATAAGTAATACCTCAGCGTTCTATGCTAAAAGCACGTCAGAAGACATAAGTCATCTATATTATGAAATGCATTTAATAAAAAAGTGCATATGCAACAAATTAATGACTTTGTAAATTTTGATTGATTATTCATTATAAAAGCTCCAAGTAGTTGATTGATCTTCAAAAAAATGCAATCAATAATTGATCACTTGATTATTTTATTCAATCTGATAAAAAAAAAACTAATAAAAAATTCAATTAAGATTGCTTGTGAGTTATGTATTTCTGTTTGTTATGGATTAAACTGCATTTTGAATAAATATTGTCCAAACTGAAGAATGTAATGATTGTAAAGCATGCAATTGTTAAATCGATTAACTAAAGTTTTGCAACCTTGAAAATGCATATCAATGCATGATAACAAAATTTATAGTAGAATTATGTGACTTGAAGTTAATAAGTTAAATGGGAAGATAATTTTCTTAATAAGATTTTCTATTTTCGTTAACTTTGAACGATTGTCAGGTTAAAAAATGATTAAGCTGTAAACAAATATGCTTATCAGATTGTGAATTGCACCTAACTTGGAGTAAAAAGCGTAATTTTTGTTTAATGAACGTTTATAATTTAATTGCTTGATATTTTGAAGTATAAATAGTCTTCGTGGATAGAGAGCAATAAACCTAAGTAATTTAGCGAGTAGTTACTCCAAAAAAAAATTTGAATCATTTTTTACTAATGAATTTATAAATGAAGTCATTTTTATCTGTTACTCATTTATTTATTCAGTAACAACTTATTAAAATTATAAGAATATATTTACACAAAAATCCAATCAAATCTATTCATTTATATTTAATGATAAATTTATTTTATAAGCAAAGATTTTATACAAAAGGGAAATTTATGATTTCAAGAAATTTATGTTTTTCTTTTATTTTCATAAATTAAACATAAATCTTTAAATTAAATTATCATTTTATTATATTTTTATTTTTTTTATAATTGTTTAATATATTCTTTATTATAACTGATATTAATCAAAAGTTCGATAGAATAAATAAAACGGATTAAAATTAATAATTTCAATATAAATTGAAATGAATAAAATATTAAATTTATGAATGAATGAATAACTATAAATGATCTGAGAAATACAAAAATCATATCTCAACATTTAATTCAATTTAAATCAGTAAAATTAGTGAAATAAACGTAGTCAATTATGTGAATAAAAATACTCTAGAAATAAGTTTAAGTAAATATAATAAATAACCGTTTCTAATTAGTTTTCAACCGAGACAAACACTTACGACAATCAATATAAATTATGATCCGCTTTGGATACATTACTCTTCATGTTTTTTATTATTATTTTTTTTTTTTTTAGGTTCACGTGATCTATTTATAGACCAACTTTATTTGATATTTGTCACAGCCATTAAGACGTCAAATAATGGCCTACATATAAACACAACTCATTCTTCTCATAAATTACAATCAAAGGAAATCCAGGACTTTGTTTAATTTCTTGAGGACACCATTCACTTTCTCAGGAGGAAAAATTCTTGAAGAAAGATTCACAAATATCTTGACAATAAATAATTATTAAATAACAATTCGGTCACGGTCAAGTGGCAAGGTATCATAGTGGATCCACATGATTCCAGGAGTTATGGAAGATTTGCTAAGTAAATTATTGATTTATTGTCAACAGAGATTTATTTATTGCAATGTGGAGCATCGTGATAACAATACCTCAGTTGAACTAAAAGTAGGTTTCTTCAATCATTCATGTAATAAAATAATTAAAAACCATTTTTATATAATACAATAATTATTGAAATAACTTAATGAAAATTTGATTTTCTTATCATTGGTTTTTACTGACAAATGAAAAATTTATTGCATTTAATAACTATATAACTAGACAGTTAGACTTAAACTCGTTTAGTAAATGATTGTCATAGTTACTATGATATATCACTTGCTATAAACATACAACTGAAAACAGTATAAGACTTACTAATGTTTACATTTGATTGTAATATCTATTTTTTTAACATTTGTAAATGATCGTAATCATTCAGATATACACAATGTTTTTTCTTATCAATAAATGTTCATATTAAATTAAAAAACCATAATAATAGAAGTAAAACAATAAAAAACATTAAATTATAATAAAGTTATACATTTCAATTAAACATTAAAAGAAAAACGATTTAATTAAAATCATGAGTTCATTTAATAAATTTGTTTTGTCTCAATAAAATTTTCATTATTGTCAGTTCAATTAAATACAGAAGGAA